GGTGTACTGACTTGTGTACGTGTGCCCTTGGGTGTACTGTACTTCATAGTTGTGTCAGTCCGAACGCTGCCTGGGCTACTCATCCAAGGCCGTGCAGGTTTGGCCGCACTTAGTCTTCCTGTCGGTACGTATTAAAGCTGTACAGGCAGCCCCTGGGTACGGTGGCCACTATCCCGCCCATGGGTACGGTGGCCACTATCCCGCCCCTGGGTACGGTGGCCACTAGCCCGCCCTTGGGTACGGTGGCCATGGCCCGGGTCCTGGCACGTGGCTTAACAGCGTCTCCTTAATCTTACACCGTCAGCTACCAGGGTACGGGGTGTCGAGGCCCTCCACCACACTCCCTCAAGTGCTACTGGTACATGAGCTTAAGTGAGTTCTAACTCCCATATATCCCTACAAGTGCCGCTACTTTACACCGCTTAAGTGAGTCCTAACTCGCTCTCCTCACTTAAGATGACGTCTATTTAACACAACTCTAACGCTAAATACCTTGATGAAAAGGTCGGTCTTGGCTAATTGTGATTCTATTGTGTTTGTGGGATGCGAACTCGTGCTCTCAACTCCCCGGTGGAGGCTCGTCCCCCGTCTCTTCTACCTGTCGGAAATCAAAACACACGGGAGGACGGACGTGTTTTTTGTCGTTTCGGAAGGTGGGTTAGAGAGGAGGGAGGAGCCTTGAGCCCTTGTGTCACCAGCGGGATGACAGGAGCGGGGCCTAAGTCGTGGTCGCGGGGAGAGGGCGGGAGGAGGACGCTATCACATAATGGCCGGGTTATAGCGATGAATATAAATGATGGTTAATGAGACTATAGCGCCGCTGCCTGGTGCTCCTCCGCCTCTTCCTCCTCCTCTTCCTCTGCGTCCTCTTCCTCCTCCTCCTCCTCCTCCTCCTTCTCTCATTGTTGATAGTGACGATGACGATGACGACACAAGTGACTTTTCCCAACAACAAATGACGTCATGAGTTTATTAGATGTACACACTTGTTCCTAAAGTGTTGTACACGATGAGGGGTCAGTATATACACACACACGCACACGCGCACACACACACACACACACACACACACACACATACCTCTAATTTGTGACCTCGGCAGTGACCTTACTTAACAGGAGAGGATATAGGGTCAGGTGTTTGTGTGTGTATGTATGTGTGTGTGTGTGTGTGTGTGTGTGTGTGTGTGTGTGTGTGTGTGTGTGTGTAATTAAACTTAACCTAACCCATAATAATTTCGGTCATACAACCTCCATGGGAAAAGAACGGCCGCACAGATGCTACCAAATTCTCCTCTTTTTTTTATACTTTTCTCTTTTCCTTTAGTTCTCTTTTTTATTTTTTTTACTTCCATTTCTTTTTTCTCTTCATTTCTCTTTTACTTCTTTTCTCCTTTAACTTTTTTTCATTCTTTTTCTCCTTTTTTATATATTTTCTTTCTTTTTTCGTTTATTGTTTTATTTTTTCTCCTTTTACTTCCCTTTTCTTCTCTATATTTTCTCTTTTTCTTCCCATTTTTCTCTCTCTTTTTTACATTTGTTTACGCTAATAATTCACAAACCAAAACACTCCCCTCCACCCCCTTCCCCTCACATAAACACGGACGTAAACACAGACGTAAACACAGACGTAAACACAGACGTAAACACGGACGTAAACACGGACGTAAACACGGACGTAAACACAGACGTAAACACAGACGTAAACACGGACGTAAACACGGACGTAAACACAGACGTAAACACAGACGTAAACACGGACGTAAACACAGACGTAAACACAGACGTAAACACAGACGTAAACACAGACGTAAACACAGACGTAAACACAGACGTAAACACGGACGTAAACACGGACGTAAACACAGACGTAAACACGGACATAAACATTATCGTAAGCAATCGATAACTTTTGACTGTTGGACGAGGGAGATGAACAAAAACACGATAATTATATAGTACAATTAATCAATGCAGTTAATGTTGAAATATTCAGGAGGGAAAATGAAGTTGTTTTTTGTTGATAAGAGTCTATCTAAATGCGTTCACTAATACATAGAAAATTACGTTCACACACACACACAAACTCTATACATTAACACGAGTTTTACATTACGAAATATTCTGACAAATATATATATATAGATATTTCTCTCAAGTATATAATATGTATACAGCTGTAGTGAGACGTAAATCAGTGGGTAATAATCTGCGTGTTTTAACTACCCTGAATGATGTGACACCTAACATTCATACGTCCGATAAATTTGGTCATCGGGAGAAGAAAAAAAACAATAATGATGGGATATTTTTAGTTATTTATTTTATTTATTTATTTTTGTTTGAGTATTGAGGATGGATTTAATTAGTCTTTGCTTAGTGTAGAAATTGACCTTGAGTTGACTGCCTTAAAGTTGTGTTTGTGTGTGTGTGTGTGTGTGTGTGTGTGTGTGTGTGTGTGTGTGTGTGTGTGTGTGTGTGTGTGTGTCTCTCTCTGTTCAGCTGTTGAGCCACGTCACTGCACAGCCATCCAACCACATACCACCACCACCACACAACCACCACCATCACCACCACCACACCAACCATCACCACCACCACCACCATCACCACCACCACACCACCATCACTACCACCACACCACCATCACCACCACACCACCATCACCACCACCACACCAACCATCACCACCACACCAACCATCACCACCACACCACACACAACCATCACCACCACCACCAACCACACCACCATCACCACCACCCACCACCACACCATCACCACCACCCACACACCAACCATCACCACCACCACCCAACCACACACCACCACACCAACAACACCCACCATCACCAACCACACCCACCACACCACCATCACCACCACCACCAACCACTATTAACCAACATATAATCCTGACACACACACACACACACACACACACAGACAAACACACACACACACACACACACACACACACACACACACACACACACACACTCTCTTGTATACGTAATATAAAACTTGGGGTCGGAATATTTACAATCAAAAAATACTTCGATAATTGGAATAAATTTGATGGTAAATATATATAATTAGCAATAAATGATTTCCAATGTACACAACACGCTGGGTCCGTCTTCTCTTTGGTAAGTTTGTGAGGTCAATTATTGTGTATTTTAGTAGCGGGAGAAGGAGGGGCAGTGGCGAATATTAATGGGGGGGATTTCTTTAAGATACGTACGTGATCGTGGCCGTGGTAATTATACACACACACACACATACAGACAGACAGACAGACACACACACACACACACACACACACACACACACACACACACACACACACACACACACACACACACACACACACACACACACATGGTATCTTTCACCTTTACCTGCCCACTAAGTAAAATATTTGTTGGTAAATAAAGAAAAAATAATCGCGATGATAGCAATTTTATTAATATTTTTGATGGTGGTGGTAGGGTGGTGGTGGTGGTGGTGGTGGTGGGTGGTGGTGGTGGGGTAGGGTGATGGTGAGTAGTGGTGAGGGTGGTGGTGGTAGTGATAGGTGGTGGTGGTGATGGATGGTGTTGATGGTGGTTAATGGTGAAGGTAACGACTCTCTCTCCAAATACATCACATCACCAGGCTGGTCGGACGGTCAGACGGTCGGATGGTCGGGTGGTTGGACGTTAGGATGGTCGTACTTGAGGTGTGTCATGGGGGCCTCTCCACCATCACCACCCCCCACCCCCCTCATTCCTCTCCTTCCTGCTTCTTTCCTCACACCTCCACTATACCTCACCCTCACCCCTCCCTCACTCCTTACACTCATCCTTCCTCTTTACCCTTCCCTCCTCCTCATCCTTCACCCCCCACCATCCCTCAACACATTACTCTCAGGGGGGAGGGAGGGGGAGGAGGAGTAAAAATGATCAAAACTTGCTACCGCTTTAAGTGAATCATAATGATCATACTATCTCCCCTCCCTACCACCCCCTCCTCTTACCCCTCCCCTGTATCCCCTCCTCTTACCCCCTCCCAACCCTCTCCTACCCCCCTCCCCTCTCGATCAATAAACAATAAACAAGTGCGTCGTAAGTCGCGGCGATCCACACTTACAATCAGATATGCTCACGGGAGGAAGCCTCGACACCGGCTGCTGTTTCTCTTCCTCCGTCAGTGGTCATAATAGCAGGTGTTGGGAGAGCTTCCACACACGAGGCGCCCTCAGCCCGCCCAGCCACGAACACCACGACTTTGGCCCCCAACAAAGCCGGGGTCGTGGGCAGGTCGAACACTGGGGGGAGGGAGGGATGGAGGAGGGGGTGTGTGTGTGGGTTGGGAGGGAGGAGGGAGGAGGGAGGAGGGAGGGGGTGTGGTGGTGTGGGTTGGGAGGGAGGAGGAGGGAGGTGGGTTGTGTGTTGTTGCACAGTAGCGTTGGTGGGCGTGCACTGACCGGCTCCTGTGTGTGTGTGTGTGTGTGTGTGTGTGTGTGCATTTATGTTTTGTGTATGTGTTTGTGTCCCACACCACCACCACCACCACCGCTACCACCACCACCACCACCACCGCCGCCGCCACCACCACCACCACCACCACCACCACCACCACCACCACCGCCACCACCACCACCACCACCACCACCACCACCACCACACCACCACCACCACCGCCACCACCACCACCACCACCACCACCACCACCACCACCACCACCACCACCACCACCACCACCACCACCACACCACCACCACCGCCACCACCGCACACCACCACCACCACACCACCACACCACCACCACCACCACCACCACCACCACCACCACCACCGCCACCACCACCACCACCACCACCACCACCACCACCACCACCACCACCACCACCACCACCACCACCACCACCACCACCACACCACCACCACCACCACCACTCTTAGGGTTTTAACTTTATAGACTTAGGAAACGATAAGCAAGAAGCAAACTAACTCGCCCATGACCCATGACCCCACAGGACCCATGCCCCACGAGACTCATGCCCTCCACGAGGCCCATGCCCCCTCTGAGACCCATGCCCCCAAACCCATGCCCCCCCCCATGCCCCACAGACCCATGCCCCCGGACCCATGCCCCCCACACCCATGGCCCCACGAAACCCATGCCCCCACAAGCTCATGCGCCCCCAAAATTTGCCCTCACCTCATGCCCCCAGAGACCCATGCCACCCAGGACCCATGCCCCCACGAAACCCTGGCAAACCCATGCCCCCACAGAGCTCATGTGCCCCAGAAACTCATGCCCCCACAGCCCATGCGCCTCCAGAAACCTATGCTCTCACGAGACCCATGCCCCCCTCGAGACCCGTTCCCCACAACCCATGCCCCACAGATATGCCCCCAGAGCCAGCCTTTGAAATCTATGCCCTCACGAGACCCATGCCCCCTCAGACCCATTCCCCCACAGGCCCATGCCCCCCCCACGAGACCCATGCCCACGAGACCCATGGCCCCCACGCCATTCCCCCACGAGACCCATGCCCCCACAAGACCCATGCCCCCCACGACCATGGACAGGGTCATCATAACTCAGTGGCCCTAGATCCTCCTCCCTGGCCTCATGATGATGGGTGACCAGGGGTTGGCCACCTCCCGCAGGCCACACGGCGATAAATTCTGGTCACTGGCGATAAATGCTGAGGTAGGAACGATAATTTCAGCAATAAATTCTCAGGTTCTAGCAGTAGTTCCGGCGATAAATTCTCAGTAGCGATAATTCTGCCGATAAATTCTCAATAACAATAATTCTGCCGATAATTTCCTAGGTTTTAGCAGTAGTTCCGGCGATAAATTTTCAGTAGCTATAATTCTGCCGATAATTTCTCAGGTTCTAGCAGTAGTTCCGGCGATAAATTTTCAGTAACGGTAATTTTGACGATAAATTCTGAAACACTATTATCATGTACCACAAAAAATTCGTCCATTAGCAAATAAAACGAAAGAAGACTAGAGAGAATGAGATAAAGTAGAAGAAAGAAGAGAATAAGAGAAGCGATAATAAGAGAAATAAGACAATAATAACAAACAAAATAATAATAAGAGGAATAAGAGAAACAAAACGATAATTATAAGAATAGATTAAAAATGCCAAGAATTAATAGGAAAAATTCATACAAGATAAAGAAGAAGAAGAAGAAGAAGAAGAAGAAGAAGATAATAATCAGATAACTCAAATAATAAATGAGGAATGAAACAAAGACGAACAATGTGAACGAAAGTAAATGAACCAAAACGAATTAAAAATTGAGACACACAAAAAAATATTAATAAATAATTCTTTTAAAATGAATATTGTTGAAGGGAATTAAAAAAAAATACATTACTGAGTTGGTGTAATGTCTGTCTGTCTGTCTGTCTGTCTGTCTGCGTGTCTGTCTGTGTAATAATTATTTGTACAAGGGATGGGATGTGTGTGTGTGAGTGGATGGGTGTGAAGGGTGGAATGGGTGGATGGATGGGGTAGAATGGATGGGTAGGGAGGTGGGTAGGGAGGATTGAGAGGTTCTCTCCCCCACCTAACTAACAGGACTAGCAACATCTTCGTTTTAATTAGTTATCCCAAGGTAGGAAAGGGGGGGTAAAGGGAGGGGAGGGGAGGTGAGGTAAAGAGGTGAAGCTAAAGGGAGGTGAGGGCAGGGGTCAACACACACACACACACACACACACACGACTCCCAGCCCGGATTTAGACCTGTGGAGACCCTTAGTCCCACACTACATAATTTTAGTAACATACTCCAGCAACTCTATCCCACCCACCCACCTTCACCCACCGCCCCACCCCACCCCCACCCCACCCCACCCCCAACCCACCCCACCCACCCCACCCCACCCCACCCCACCCCACCCCAACACCGGAAACGAACTAACCAATGACGATCTAGAAATAAACATAAAGAAATATATAGTTTATTTTTTTTTTATTTATCATATTTAAAGTTGGTTGCCGTGATAATGTGGGGGTCGACCACACTCTCTTGAGCACTCCTGAACCCGGGCAGTTGGTATTGTTCATCAGGCCAGTGAACATGACCGCTTCTGTGGCCTGTGTGTGTGTGTGTGTGTGTGTGTGTGTGTGTGTGTGTGTGTGTGTGTGTGTGTGTGTGTGTACATGTTTATATTTATATTGTTATGCATCGTTTCCTAATAATAATAATAACAATAATAACAACAACAAGTATGAGCCTCGCCACACACCTGTTGAGCCACACACCTGTTGAGCCACACACCTGTTGAGCCGGGGCAACAAATTTTACGATCTTAACCTAAACATTTAATTGCGTGACGTTGGACTTAAGAGAGCGGCTCCTCCTCCTCCTCCTTCGATCCCTTCAGGCAACAACAAGCCCTGAACGGTGGACACAGGGCGACGGTGTGTGGGGGATGAGGGAGTCTGGCCACGTCTCCGCGGTCACCCACAAGTCACCCGCGCCGGAGACATCCTGCCCCCTTCTTACGCCCCGCGCCACGGTAATTACCTGCCGCCGCCTGATGATTCTGCTGCAGGTGGTGGTGGTGGTGGTGGTGGTGATGGTGGGAGGTGGTGGTGGTGGTGGTGGTGGAGGTGGTGGTGGTGGTGGTGGTGGTGAACGCTGTGAATCGTACCCCCTCCTCCTCCCCCCTACCTGCTCCTGTTTCATACCTGTGTTGGGTGAAGTGTTTTTTGTGTGTGTTGGGTGTGTGTGTGAGTTTGCGTGGATATAGCGTGTGTTGGGTGCATATTGTCCATGTTTTCTTATGTTCGTCCGTGCGTCATTGAATCCTCTTGACACTCACCAACAGTACAGTGACATCCACCAACACTCACCAACAGTACAGTGACATCCACCAACACTCACCAACAGTACAGTGACATCCACCAACACTCACCAACAGTACAGTGACATCCACCAACACTCACCAACACTACAGTGACATCCACCAACACTCACCAACACTACAGTGACATCCACCAACACTCACCAACAGTACAGTGACATCCACCAACACTCACCAACAGTACAGTGACATCCACCAACACTCACCAACAGTACAGTGACATCCACCAACACTCAGCACTCAGGTATCCAACACTACAGTGACATCCTCCAACACTCACCAACACTACAGTGACATCCTCCAACACTCACCAACACTACAGTGACATCCTCCAACACTCACCAACAGTAGTGACATCCCCAACACTCACCAACACTAGAGACATCCACCAACACTCACCAACAGTAGTGACATCCTCATACACTCATCAACACTGCAGTGACATCCTCCAACACTCACCAACAGTACAGTGACATCCTCCAACACAACAACACCTACAGTCACGTCCTTCAACACCCACCAACACTACAGTGACATCCTCTGACACTCACCAACACTGCAGTGACATCCTCCAACACTCACCAACACTACAGTGACATCCTCTGACACTCACCAACACTACAGCGACATCCTCCGACACTCACCAACAGTACAGCGACATCCTCCAACACCCACCAACACTACAGTGACATCCTCCAACGCTCACCAACACTAGCAGGGTCCTCCAACTCACCAACACTACAGACTCCTCAACCTCCACTACCAACACTGCAGCGAGGTTCTCCAACACTACAGCGAGGCCCTCCAACACTCACCAACACTACAGGAGGCCTCCACCACCAACACTACAGCGAGGTCTCACACTCACCCACTACAGGAGGCCCCCACCTCCAACACTACAGCGAGGTCCTCCAACACTCACCAACACTAAGCGAGGTCCTCCAACACTCACCAACACTACAGCGAGGTCCTCCAACACTCACCAACACTACAGCGAGGTCCTCCAACACTCACCAACACTACAGCGAGGTCCTCCAACACTCACCAACACTACAGCGAGGTCCTCCAACACTCACCAACACTACAGCGAGGTCCCAACACTCACCAACACTACAGCGCGGTCCTCCAACACTCACCAACACTACAGCGAGGTCCTCCAACACTCACCAACACTACAGCGAGGTCCTCCAACACTCACCAACACTACAGCGAGGTCCTCCAACACTACGGAGGTCCTCCAACACTCACCAACACTACAGCGAGGTCCTCCAACACTCACCAACACTACAGCGAGGTCCTCCAACACTCACCAACACTACAGCGAGGTCCTCCAACACTCACCAACACTACAGTGAGGTCCTCCAACACTCACCAACACTACAGCGAGGTCCTCCAACACTCACCAACACTACAGCGAGGTCCTCCAACACTCACCAACACTACAGCGAGGTCCTCCAACACTCACTCAACACTACAGCGAGGTCCTCCAACACTCACCAACACTACAGTGACATCCTCCAACACTCACCAACACTACAGCGAGGCCTCCACCACCACACTACAGGTCCTCCAACACTCACCAACACTACAGCGAGGTCCTCCAACACTCACCAACACTACAGTGATCCTCCAACACTCACCAACACTACAGCGAGGTCCTCCAACACTCACCAACACTACAGCGAGGTCCTCCAACACTCACCAACACTACAGGAGGTCCTCCAACACCACCAACACTACAGCGAGTCCTCCAACACCACCACACTACAGCGAGGTCCTCCAACATTCACCAACACTCAGCGAGGTGGGTCCTCCCCTGGTACAGGTAGAGAGCCCAGCAGGTGAGGGCCAAGGAGGACCCAGGTAGCCAGGACAGAGGACTAAAAGGTGCCTAATCTGACCCACCCCAAGCTGCCCCGAGGCCCACCCTTACCCTCTGGCCCACCCTCCTCTCTGGCCCACCTCCTCTCTGGCCCACCTTCCTCTCTGGCCCACCCTCCTCTCTGGCCCAGTCTTCTGGCCCACCCTACTCTTTGGCCTACCCTCCCTCTGGTTCATCCACCCTTGACCCACCCACCACTGCACCACCCCTTGGCCCATCCTCCTCTCTGGCCCACCCTCTGGTTCATCCACCCTTGACCCACCCACCACTGCACCACCCTTGGCCCATCCTCCTTCTGGCCCACCCTCTGGTTCATCCACTTGACCCACCCACCACTGCACCACCCCTTTGGCCCACCTCCTCTCTGGCCCACCTCTTCTTCTGGCCCACCTCTGGCCCACACTACCCTTTGGCCCATCCTCCTCTATGGCTCATCCAGGCCCCTCACCCCGCCCTCTCTGCCTTCCTCTGGCCCATCTATGGCCCACCTTTCTGGACCCTACCCACCCTCTGGCCCACTCCTGTCCTTGGCCCACCTATCTTCCTCCTATCAAGTTGGGTTTAGTATTCTTCTCAGTAAGTAATTTGTTGAAAAAAAAAGGTAACCCAAGAGATATATATTAAGGCATTTTTACCTCCTTAACTATGCTGTGATAATTAGCAGGTAAAGGTAACATGGGTGGGGAGGAGGGCGTTGTTGTCGCCTGAGTTTAGGGACCTAGGGTGTGTTGGGGAGTGTGATGGGGGTGTGATGTGGGGTGTTAAGTGCTGGGGTGTGTTGGGGAGAGTGATGGGGTGTGATGAGGTGTGTTCGGGAGTGATGGGGTGTTGGGGTGTGTGATGGGGAGTTTTGGGGTGTGTTAGGGAGTGCTGGGGGGTGTTGGGGGTGTGATGGGGTGATGAGTGTGTGGGCTGGGGGTGTGTGGAGAGATGGTGTGTGATGAGGTGTGTCTGGGAGTGAGTGGGTATGGGGTGTGTTCGGGAGTGATGGTGTTAGGGTGTGTTGGGGGAGTGCTGGGGTGTGTTGGGGATAGTGATGGGATGTGTTGGGTTGTGGAGTGTGATGAGGTGTGTTGGGGTGTGTTAGGGAGTGATGGGGTGTGTTAGGGTGTGTTGGGGAGTGGATAAGTATTTTCCGTTTCAATATTAAAAAAGAAAATCATTATGTTTAGTCCCGTTATACCTGCGTCACGTAACACAGGCCGTGACGTCATGTTCCATCAGTCACACGTTACCTGAATTAATGTTACTTCCTGCCTATGCTCTTGGCTATGACTCGTCACCTCCTGCATCCAGGCCTCATCTCCTCACCTCCAGCATCTATAGGCCTCATACCCTCACCTCCAGCATCTATAGGCCTCATCTCCTCACCTCCAGCATCTATAGGCCCCATCTCCTCACCTCCAGCATCTATAGGCCTCATCTCCTCACCTCCAGCATCTATAGGCCTCATACCCTCACCTCCAGCATCTATAGGCCTCATACCCTCACCTCCAGCATCTATAGGCCTCATCTCCTCACCTCCAGCATCTATAGGCCTCATACCCTCACCTCCAGCATCTATAGGCCTCATACCCTCACCTCCAGCATCTATAGGCCTCACACCACCTCCAGCATCTATAGGCCCCATCCCTCACCTCCAGCATCTATAGGCCTCATCCCCTCACCTCCAGCATCTATAGGCCTCATCTCCTCACCTCCAGCATCTATAGGCCTCATCTCCTCACCTCCAGCATCTATAGGCCTCATCTCCTCACCCAGCATCTATAGGCCTCATCTCCTCACCTCCAGCATCTATAGGCCTCATCTCACCTCCAGCATCTATAGGCCTCATCTCCTCACCTCCAGCATCTATAGGCCTCATCTCCTCACCTCCAGCATCTATAGGCCTCATCCCTCACCCATCTATAGGCCTCATACCCTCACCCAGCATCTATAGGCCTCATACCCTCACCTCCAGCATCTATAGGCCTCATACCCTCACCTCCAGCATCTATAGGCCTCACTCCTCACCTCCAGCATCCATAGGCCTCATCTCCTCACCTCCAGCATCTATAGGCCTCATACCCCACCCAGCATCTATAGGCCTCATACCCTCACCTCCAGCATCTATAGGCCTCATCCCCTCACCTCCAGCATCTATAGGCCTCATACCCTCACCTCCAGCATCTATAGGCCCATACCCCTCACCTCCAGCATCTATAGGCCTCATACCCTCACCTCCAGCATCTATAGGCCTCATCTCCTCACCCAGCATCTATAGGCCTCATCTCCTCACCTCCAGCATTATAGGCCTCATCTCCTCACCTCCAGCATCTATAGGCCCATACCTCACCTCCAGCATCTAGGCCTCATACCTCACCTCCAGCATCTATAGGCCCCATACCTCACCTCCAGCATCTATAGGCCTCATCTCACCTCCAGCATCTATAGGCCTCATCTCCTCACCTCCAGCATCTATAGGCCTTACTCCACCTCCAGCATCTATAGGCCTCATACCCTCACCTCCAGCATCTATAGGCCTTATCTCACCTCCAGCATCTATAGGCCTCACTCCTCACCTCCAGCATCTATAGGCCTCATCTCACCTCCAGCATCTATAGGCCTCACACCACCTCCAGCATCATAGGCCTTCATCTCACCTCCAGCATCTATAGGCCTCATCTCCTCACCTCCAGCATCTATAGGCCTCATACCTCACCCAGCATCTAGGCCCTTACCCTCACCTCCAGCATCTATAGGCCTCATCTCCTCACCTCCAGCATCTATAGGCCTCATCTCCTCACCTCCAGCATCTATAGGCCTCATCTCCTCACCTCCAGCATCTATAGGCCTCATACCCTCACCTCCAGCATCCGTGTCCCTGAAAACAAAACAAAACCTACCCAGACTATTCTCCCATTAACCCCGGTGTGCCTCAGGGGGTTGACCTGCTACCTACCCTGTATTCTTTTTAACATATTAATGACTTTCTTTTCCTAGTAAACCAAAAACCACTCGAGATTCATATGTAGATGACGCTAATCTTGGTCACAATCTCTATCTCTCACTCTCTGTCTCTGTCTAGCTTTCTTGTCTTTTCTCTGTCTTATCGCCACTTTCATCATGCCTCCCGCCGTGTCCCCGTGAGAGCCACAGAAACATCACTTCCAGGGAACCAACCATCTCACGGTGGATAGACGCGAACATCACCCGCGTCTTACCTGGTGACGGATGTTTTGAGGCTCAGATATACACTTCTACCTGAAACCTGGCAAAATGGATGTTGAATTAAGGTAATCTAACTTAGCCTACCTCTAACCTAACCTAACCTAACCTAACCTAACCTAACCTAACCTAACTTAGCACCTGTAACCTAACCTTAACTTGAAATGTTCAATTATTAGATAATGAACACTGTGTGTGTGTGTGTGTGTGCGTGTGCGTGCGTAGGAGGATGTGGGTGGTGTGTGTGTGTGTGTGTGTGTGTGTGTGTGGGAGGATGTGGGGTGGTGTGTGTGTGTGTGTGTGTGTGGGGTGTGGTGGTGTGTGTGTGTGTGTGTGTGGTGGTGTGTCTGTGTGTGTGTGTGTGTGTGTGTGTATGTGTGGGTAAGATAGGGTGTGTTTGTGTGTGCAGTAGTGCAGACAGTTTTAACCGTGAAATCCACCGTGGATAAATTCTCTAAGAAACGAGACCTTTGATCTTTCCATCTCTTAGAATATTTGTGTGTGTGTGTGTGTGTGTGTGTGTGTGTGTTGTCTTCTGACCCATCTGACCCACTCTGCCCTACAGGAATGTCTCTTCAATAGGTCGTTCGTATATGCTGGAAATGCTTACAATATGGCATAAAAAGAGCCATTTTATATTATTATTTGTGTTGTTTATGAGTAAAACTGCGCCTAAAGTGGTGGAGAGATATTATTCTATTATTTTGGATCTATTTATTTGTAAAACGAGTCGAAAATGGCATAGAAATACTTTTTTTATCTTATTTTTGTCATTTAGCTTGACACCAAAAAGAGTCTCCGTATGCGTTCTTCTTTACCGGGCAGAACCAATCAGCGAACAATAACAAGGTCCTACGTCAGAAGAATTTGGCCAATCAGAGGTGGGGTGGGGGGGGGAGTGGCGGGTGGCGACTCTTGGCGATAATGTTTGTGGACTCGGCAGGAGAGGTTGTGGTCACCCGCTGTGATTTTTTCCCCCACTGGTCCATTTATAACCCCCCCACATTCTTCCCCTTCACCTTCCCCGTCTTACCCCCCACCATGGTCATTTCTTCCCTATATTCCTCCCCACACCCAGTCATAGTCACTCATCCGTCTATATATTTCTCCCCCACCACAGGAGCTTATTTTTCCCCACCATATTTTCGACTCTGGACTTTATTTCCCCCACATTTTCCCTTTCTAACACAATTTCCCTATTTTTCATTCCTATATCAGGCTCTGTTGTTGTCTCTTTACTCCCACACTCTTCCCTGTTACGACGTTAACTAATTAATTTATCTGCTATTAGGTCCAGTTCCCCCCAGCGTAAATAGGTGTCGATCCTATTCCCTAAATTGGCCAAGATTACGTGATGTGTGAATTCCAATTATCTCTCTCCCTCTCTCTCTCTCTATGTACTGAATGCAGCTAATCGTTCTAGTTGTGGTAGTAGTAGTAGTAGTAGTAGTAGTAGTAGTAGTAGTAGTGATGATTATAGTGTTATCCATTAATATACTAAAGTGTCATTGTAAATAACCATCACCCTTTCTCCTCTTCCCACGGCCCACATCACACCTCCCCCCCCCCCCTTCCACCTCAGCCCCCTCCCTGCCCCCCCCCCCCTGCCCCCTCCTCCACCCTCCCCTCACCTGTATAGCGGCTAATGAACTAACAGACTCATTGATCGCCATATATACCGATCGTCTACCTGCCCTGCCCCCCCATACTTCCCCAACCCACCCATACCCTGCCCCCCCCACCCTCCCCAACCCACCCATACCCCCTGCCCACACTCCCCAACCCACCCATACCTCCTGCCCACACTCCCCCCCACCCCCCCTGCCCCCTCAACCCACCCATACCCCCCTGCCCACACTCTCCCAACCCACCCATACCTCCTGCCCACACCTCCCAACCCACCCATACCTCTGCCCACACTCCCCAACCCACCCATACCCCCCTGCCCACACTCTCCCAACCCACCCATAGCCCCCTGCCCACACTCCCCAACCCACCCCCAACTCTACAAAGTACCTCCTCCACTACAGAAACCTTTCACACCAATCACCCACTAACCCACCCACCCCACTCACACCCACCACCCCCACCCACCCACCCACCCATCTCCTGCCCTTCTTGTGCCAACTCCTCCACACCTTCATACTATTTCACCTTTTGCCACCCACCACCACCCACACTCTATCTCTCTCCACTCCACGACCGCCGCCTGTAACCGCACCGTATCTACATTCAGGACCGCTCCTTCCCCACCGCCCACCGCAACAATGGATATGGGTGACCGGGGTGTCCACACCTCCCCCTGACATGGACATTTCCGCAGGATTTTGGGGGAGTTTTTAGGGAGGCGTCTTGGGTGTCCTTGGGGAATTGGGAGTGTCCTTCTGGGTCCTTGGGGGCTGGGGTGTCCTTGGGATGTATCTTGGGGATTTGGGATGTCCTGAAGGTCTTCCTACTTGTTAAGACTCCTCAAACATTGAATTCCTAATGTCCATCCTTCCTCCTCCTCCTCCTCCTTCTAGCTGGTCCCACCTCCTCCTCCTCCTCCTCCTCCTCCTAGCTGGTCCCACCTCCTCCTCCTCCCCTTCTTCCTCCTCCTCCTTCTAGCTGGTCTCACCTCCTCCTCCTCCTCCTCCCTCTTCCTAGCTGGTCCCACTCCTCCTCCTCCTCCTCCTCCTCCTCCTCCTCCTCCTCCTCCTCCTCCTCCTCCTTTTCTAATGACAATATACAAGTCTCTTGATAGTGATGATGCCCCTCTTGTGTGTGTGTGGCCCTTCTGTGTGTGTGTGGCCCTCTTTGTGTGTGTGGCCCTCTGTGTGTGTGGCCCTCTTGTGTGTGTGTCTCTTGTGTGGTGGCCCTCTGTGTGCGTGTGGCCCTCTTGTGTGTGTGTGGGTCTCTTGTGTGTGTGGCCCTCTTGTGTGTGTGTGTCTCTTGTGTGCGTGGCCCTCTTGTGTGTGGCCCTCTTGTGTGTGTGTGTGCTCTTGTGTGTGTGTGGCCTCTTGTGTGTGTGTGTCTCCTCTGTGTGTGTGTGGCCCTCTCTGTGTGTGTGTGGCCTTCTTGTGTGTGTGGGCCTCTTGTGTGTGTGGTCTCTTGTGTGTGTGTGGGGTCTCTTGTGTGTGGGTCTTCCTGTGTGTGTGTGGCCCTCTTGTGTGTGTGTGGTGGCCTCTTGTGTGTGTGTGGCCCTTGTGTGTGCGTGGTCTCTTGTGTGTGTGGCCCTCTGTGTGTGTGTGGCCCTCTTGTGTGTGTGGCCCCCTTGTGTGTGTGGCCCTGTGTGTGTGTGTGGCTCGTGTGTGGCCCTCCCTGTGTGTGTGTGGCCCTCTGTGTGTGTGTGGCCTCTTGTGTGTGTGTGGTCCTCTTGTGTGTGTGGCCCTCTTGTGTGTGTGGTCTCTTTGTGTGTGTGCGTGGCCTCTTGTGTGTGTGTGGCCTCTTGTGTGTGTGTGGCCCT